TAATTTGTTATTGAACTAAATAAGCTCAATTCAAGTTACCTTGTAACAGTAATCCCAATGAATGTGTAATGAAAGATAAAGGGAACAAACAAGGAAAATGATAAAAAGAACAAAACAAGAACAAATTATAAGAAAGAATAAGAGTGGATCACATGACAAGAAAGGAATAGATCAGTTAGAACAAATCCTAAAGAGAATGGAATAGATTATAGTGTTTTCCTTATGTTATAAGATTAATAACTTAGGAAGGAAAACAAAATCTCTATCTCCTTATTTGAGATTTTAGAATAAACAACACAAACTAATCAAGACAAAGGTTGCAGATTTAAAGGAGCAAAGAACAGGGGTTACGGACAAGAAAGAAGAAAAAGAAAAAGAAACTAATAATTAAATTAAGCAACTTGATTTAGAACCTAGTGCTTTGATCCCAAGATGATGCAAACCCCAAATAGCACAATGTGACCCACAAACACAACAAAGAAATTCAAACCCCTAAGGAAAGCCAATTTAGTTTTATTAAAGACAAACACTGACCTGCTATATACATTGAAACAGAAACCAAAGGTATAAGAAGGATTTTTGAAGCCACACTTAAGAATGATTAAAAACAAGAGTGATAAATTAGATTAGAACACCACAACAATAATCGTAATTAGTTCTATAAGTTCACAAACAAACTAAGAGAAAAGTTTTTTAAATGATTTTAAAATCAATTACCATCCTAAATTAGGATTACTAGCCTTTTTGGATATATTTAACTGTCTAGCTAGCACTTAACTAACAGAATAATTAAAAAAGTATATTCTTTTTAGAGTTAAGAGATCAAAAGAGTGTTGAAAATAGTTTAAGGACCAAAAATGTTCCAAAGTGAAAGTTCAAAGACTAAAATTGGCATTTATCTAAAATAGATGAAATAAAATCCTTACTAAAAGGCTAAACCTCCGTTTATATGGTTGCTATTTAACAATTGTAAAATTTATAAAAATTAAAATTAAAAATTAAAAATTTGTTTAAAAAAATTTTAACACTACTAATTAAAAATATTTACTTGTTTAATAATGATATTAAAATTATTTTTATTTTTATTTTTTTAATAATCATAACAATATATTACTAAATTATATAAAAATAAATAATTTTTTATTTAAATTTACAAAATTTATAAAATCTAAAACTAACAAGCCAAAACTACAAAACGGAAGCTAAATATATTTAATTAAAGTTAAGGAATTCAAATTGAGGTGGGCAGGGATCGCCTGGAAAACATGAAAGCCAAAAATAAATAAATAAATAAAAGAAAAAAATAAATAAATAAAGCTGGCGTGTCGGATCTCGGATGTACGAAAGGTTGTCCTGTGGTTTCCAGGACCCCTAGCCTCATCTACAATGCGCGACATGGTGAAAGTAACTTCCCATTATTTTATAATTGAGTTTTATTTATATAAAAATTATAATAAAATTTATTTTAAAAAATTATTTATGATTTATTTATATAAAAATTATAATAAAATAAATTTTAATTATTAAAAATAAATAATAAAAATTTTATATAAATATAATATATAAAATTTATATGCAAATAAATTTATATTATATATATATATATTTTTTTTTTTTTCTCTTTCAAGGGTATAATTCATTCTTCGATTGATTCTTCCTATCAGACTCGTCTACTCATCGTTTTCTTTACATGCTACTGAAATGGTGTTTAACTCCAAACATAACAATCTGCAAAGTAAAATGGTTTCTAAATGCACACCCAAAAACGCATATACTGAACAAATATCGCACTTCGGTTTTCAGTTTACCCATAAAGGCTACAAAACTTGTATTCCACCACAGTAGTTGAAGCTTTGTTACTGTAAAACCTGCTCTATCATCCATGTTAGTGTTACTGACTATACTGCAACTATTACCAAGTACCATTGCTTTTTCTAAACTGAAGCTCAAACCAGGAAGAGATCCTAATTCAAATTGTGTAAATGAGAGTTTTAAACTGAAAAGCATGTAGAAGTCCCAATTATCTTGTGTTTCAACTGTTCTGGCTGGAGCAATCAGGTTTCAAGACCAAGCTGTGAAGATTATTACTTTTGAGGAGAACGAGCCCTAAGAAGGGATGTTCAGGAATAAGATGAAACTATGTTTTTGCGAGTGCCTGTTTTGCACCTTACCAGCTTCCAATCCTCTGCTCCGTAGTTCTGGTCTTGACCTGAAAGTTAATAAGCTATGAGGATGGGCCAACTTTACAACTGGAGAAAAAGTCAGACAAGATATTTAGCTAAAACTAAGTTTAGTAAGCTTATGAATACGTAATGATGAATTTACATCAGACAGACCATCTACACACATGCACAGACGAACAGACTTCTGTCAAGCACACAAATGTGATTCTACCCTCAATACGTTTTATTACTGAAAACGAAAAGGAAAAAGTTCGACATGTGAAATTACAGGAAGAGGTTAAAAACCTGTTGTCTGTTACAGCTTGAGTTATAAAGAAAATCATACCTGTCTCAAACTGTAGAAGATATAAGTGGGCTATTAAGACTCTCTCCATTGTCAGAGAAGTGAATTGGCAGCATAGCTGGGTCCTGATATGCAGTAACCAGTTTATCATAAAATTCGCCCATAGTACGATCATTTTGGTCTTCCCTGTCTCTTTTTATCAACACCTTTTCACAAGAGAAAAAATTAAGTTGAGAACGGGATTGATATTCTAAAGGTAGCAGTGTGCTTGCATTGTGGAGAAGAGTGAGGAGATAGACTTGGTTCTGTGATCTCTATCTATATAGGGTAAGAAAAAAAATTATGGTCGGCGAACATACCTCTGCAGGGTAGGCAATAAAATTGGGCAGGAACCGTTTCCGGCAGTATTCATTAAAAAGAAGTGTAAGTACAACAAGTGGAAAAATCAAAGTTGATGCTACAGACAGCTTCTTCAATGTGAAAATTCCAACAGCAATAGCTTGCATGAGCACCAAAGAGAATATCATTGAATTGTGAACTATCGGCCAAAACTTCCCTGCAGTTTCATACCTAGGTGCATAAACGTTTATGAACTGCATGATGAAAATTTCCAAACAACTAGTGCAAGTTAGTTTGAATAATTCTGAAGTGTACTTTCAATATCTATAGGACATTGACAAATGCAAAAGCTGAAGAAAATTTAACGGTTTGTTTTGCAATAAGAAAATGATCACCAATTAGGCACAATTTACTAAAACAAAAAGACTAGTAAGGAAACAATCTTGTGAGATACTTCCTGGACAATGCATGTCTTTAGTTGATGGAAATATGAAAATGATCGACATAAAATGGTTTTTCTATATATCTTTTTTTGTACAATGTTTTGTCCAACAAGACATGTCATTTTATGTTTGACTTTTTTACAATGTTCTGTACAATATAAATACATTCAATTGTATCTCAATCTATATCTTTCCTGAAGTGTACTATCAGTGGCAGAGCCAAGATTTCGGAGAAGGGAGACCAATTTTGTCAACACCTAAATCAAATTTGTGCCATTTATAAAACATAATAATAATAATAATAATAATAATAATAATAAAAAGCCCCTGTGCTCCAAAGTATTATACCCTCTTGTTTGTTTTAGTTGTGTTAATTTGATTTTTGGATAAAGTTTAAATTGATAATTTTATATAACAAACAAATGACAATTAAAAAAAAAAATTTCTTCCTAAACATAGTACCGGTTGAATATTTTCACTTAGATTGAAAAAAATTTTCAGTTGTTACTCATTTGTTATTTAAAATCATCAAATTAATTAACATAAAGTTGATAGAGTGGGACAACTAACAAGACTAGAGGGAGTAACACATAGTTGTAAATTGTAAACTTGTGTCTTAAAAAAATTAACTTGGCCATGCTTAATGTGAAATATACTGTACTTTGAAATTCTTTGTGATTAATGAATAATAATCTAGTTGTATTTGTGGGAAAAAAAAAGCGTAGAATAAAACACATCTAAAAAACTATGTAAAAATTTTATAAACATATAAAAAATTGGTATAACAAATGATAAAATAAAATAAATAGATTTAACTCAAGAAAAAATTATTAGTTAGAGATGAAGTTTTAATATTTGACTTAGTAAGAAAATAAATATTAGTAACTAAAATGAATATTTTAGACTAATTTTAGGCACTACAAAGGTGATGGTCTAAAGTTTTTCCAGAAACAAAGCAGAGGGAGGGCAAGTTAAAGAAATGCTAAAAGTTTAGGAATTTTCTTACCTATCTTTGGCTCAAAATATTAGAAATTAAAAGGCAGTTTTTATATTTAATAGATTTGCATTAAGGACTCCTTAATTGTTATCAACATTCTATTTTGAACTTAATACAAGATTTGTAAAAAGACTAATGATAATTATTTTCATAAATATTAAAAATAATTAGGTGAATAAAAATAAATTTAAGGATGATATTGGTAAAATAAAAAATTTGAGGACTAATTTTAAAACTTTCAAAAATACCAGGGGCCCCCTAGTCTCTTCATGGCTCTGCCAGTGTACTATAGATACTGGGGTTTTCACACGTACTATTGTACATATTACTCTGTCATAGGAGTAATGTAAATTCTATTCAACCTACATTACATGAAGCCAACTCTAATAGGCACTTATGAAAAGCTTATTAACTTAAATTTTTCACAGATACAGTTATAATCCTTAAAAGTCCAGCTATGATTTTGCTGATCAAAAAAAGAAAAAGAGAAGGACCAACCGTAATCAATTGTTGAGCATTTGCTACTGCACTTGAAAATGTGGGTATTTTTGAAAACATACTGGAAATTAAGCTGAGTTAATGAGCTGGAGTTTTTTTTTTTTATACCAAAAGTTGAGCTGCAGATATGACAGCTAAGTAGTGATACTGACCCAGAAGGCAGAAAACTATATTTAACAGAATATTTTGACAA